TTGTATTGGTCTAAGCTTTGTCAGAGAGAATGAATAACCCAGCTAAAATTCGATTTGATTAAAATTTTCTAAAATAATCTTTGTAATTTCAGCTCATCTCCTTAAAAGAAAAAAAGGTAAAATCACGATATAGCGTCCTAAATTATCCGGTGATTTTTGTTGAGTTTCGTAAAAATTCGTTACCGTAAACCATAGTTTATTTGACCGTTAAAATAAAAATAAAGTCATGTGCATTAAATTAATGGTTAAACTTAATTTAAAGTTTAATTGGCAGAAAATTAATAACATTAGTAAATCTAAATGTTATCAATAAAGTCGAGTGAAGTAATCAATACTTTTTTTAAGAAACAAAAAAAAAACACCTGCAGAAGACTTGCGACAACTAGATCTATCATCTAGATCTAGTAAAATAAGACGATTCGATTTACTAAAGTTAAAAGTAGTTAGAAGAACTAGAACAATGTTTAGTAGCAGCAACAATTAGCATATACACTTAAAATAATTAGAAATACAAAATGATTAGCAAAACAGTATTTAAAATGCAACTAAAATCAACCCATGCACATTTTTAAACATTATGTATTAAAATAGATGATGGTTTACAATATTTTCTGTGTTTTCGGAACGGCTCGGCAGACTACGTCATGGTTTTACTGTTTTTTACTGCTGTACAATTCCGGAATAATGAAAGGACACTATATCGTGATTTTACCGAAAAAAAGCACTTAAAAATTAAAGTCATACATTTTCAATTTTGAGTTTCGCTACAATCTGAACCGTTTGCCCCTTAACGTAATATTTTAAGTGTAAACTTACACATTCTCAAAAGGCGTTAAAGATCATTAAATATATAGTCCACTAAAAAAAACAACTAAAAAAAACAGGAAACGAATGTCATTTTCGTGTTTAAATCAAATTCTTGTCTAACTTTAATATTTGCGGTTGTTGTATGTACTTTAGATATACAGTTAAGTCTCTAAACTACAATTATTTTACATTTTGACCATGCCTAACTGCAAATTATGTTATTTAATATTGTTAAATATAATAAAAACATTTAACCTTCTAATTTTTTTCTAGGCAGCAAACATCCAACACACAAATGTCTCACACCGAGCATACGGTCGACAACATACACGTAGCTACGGAAGTTTTCAAATGTTTTGAAAAACACAAGAACAATTTTACTGACTTTACCGTCAACGTTGGCGACACCAAGTTCAACTGTCACAAGTTTGTCCTAAGTTCCTGCTCTGGTTTCTTTGAGGCTCTCATGAGGACAGATATGAGAGAAAAATCTGAATCAACTTGCACCATAGAGGGTATCTCCCCAGAAATATTTGGTCTCATACTTGATGTTATTTACAAAGGGTCGGAAGTTTTAGACGAGGAAAACATGCTTGAAATGTGGCACGCATCCAATCAACTGCAGATCAAATTTTTGATTGTGGATTGTGAAAACTTCGTAAAGGAGAGAGTAAATTTAGAAAACTACTGGGAAATATTTACCGATGCCAAGCTGCTGGATTCTATTGACGTCACGACTAGAGTAAAAGAGTTTATGGTGAACAATTTTTCGGAGATTTTAGAGTCAAATGTCTTCATGCAACTTTCTTTGGATGACTTAAAATTCATTTTAAACCACAATAACTTCTTGTTCGAAGCCGATTTTTCCGTGCAGTCAGTTTTAAAATGGACATGTTCAGATGATTCCTATCTCGCGGCTACACCAAAGAAATGTTTAAGCACGACAGATATGGTCAAGACAATATTTGATCGGCTAAAACCGTCTCGTAGCGCGGTTGACGTGGTGACATTGGACCAGGACAACATCACACTGCGCAGGTCACACCTTGGTGAGCTGCTGACCGTACTTCCTCTCCAAGACACAACTAACGCTTGCCTGGCTAAACTTATGAACAACCGATTTGTCTTGTCAAATTTCGATGCCATAACTCTTGTGAACCAGATAGCCGCTACAAGATTCGATGCCGGAGAAACGAAAAGTTTCAACGAAAAAACAAACGAAACCCAGACTTTTACAAACGGCTTTATGTTCAACTCAGATTCGACGCAATCTACAGAAAACAAACCTTCTAAAACTACACGCCAACGTGTAGGCAAATATTGCCTCTATGGAGCTGCACTTGTGATTGCCTTTATGATGGCCATTGTTATTTACATGATTATCACGTCTGCTTTTCCTACCAGCTGTGTGTTTTTACAACGGTATGCAGTCAAATACAACCAAAAAATCTTTCCACAATAGAACAATTGTTTTTTTTACAGAACTGCTAATTATCTCAGTGCCATTCTTCACCACCATTGGTCCCATTACGTCAGTTCATTACAAAAAATGTGTTGGTGTGTTTCGCTGAATAGGTAACAAACGTGTGCACCATAAGCTTTTATTAGAGATTGACAATCATGTTTAAACATAAATACATTTCTTTTTAAGAAACATTGATTTAAACATTCAAACCCATTGAGATATGCATTTTCTTATAACATATAATTTAAGTACATGTTGATTTACAAAGAAGTCGAGACATTCTGACTGATCTATATAATTTCATGTATAAGTGAAAGTTGATCTGTATCATCAACTGTATGATTGCATGACTCATATAACATCAAATATAAATCAACACCGAAGAGTAAGTGTTTGTGTATTAGGTGTATCACCGAACGCATGCATGCTGGGAATATATGACATTAAGTTATTTTAATAATGCTATATTTTGTATGAATAATCTACTAATAAACATGTTTCAAAAAATGTTAACCTTTTTATTCATATTAAGAATTTAGTTTACGACCTATTTTGAAAAATCACCTACAAATACATTTGTAGGATTTATTTAGCTGAGCTAGTTTCTTTAAATGTTATAAAAAGTTAACGTTATGAGCACCTCAGTTCTGAAGGTTGGAGTTTTAGTTTTATTTTAGTTAACAATTGATGCAATAGTTTGCTCGTAATGTGTTCAAAAGATAACATATTTAATGCATGTTATATGTACATTGCAATAGAAAAACAAAACACTTTGAAATACGATTTTTTAGTTAATAAGGATATGCGTGTTTCAATTTTTCAAATTTATTTACTTTAATTGTTAGTAAACAGGAACGGTTGCGGTAAGATAGGGTAGATTAGGAGAAGTTAGGTTATGTAAGGTAAGTATAATAAAGTTTAGGTCTGGTGAGGTTAAGTGAGTATGCTCTAGTTAGGTTATGTAAGGTAAGTATAATAAAATTTAGGTCTGGTGAGGTTAAGTGAGTATGCTCTAGTTAGGTTATGTAAGGTAAGTATAATAAAGTTTAGGTCTGGTGAGGTTAAGTGAGTGTGCTCTAGTTAGGTTATGTAAGGTAAGTATAATAAAGCTTAGGTCTGGTGAGGTTAAGTGAGTATGCTCTAGTTAGGTTATGTAAGGTAAGTATAATAAAGTTTAGGTCTGGTGAGGTTAAGTGAGTGTGCTCTAGTTAGGTTATGTAAGGTAAGTATAATAAAGCTTAGGTCTGGTGAGGTTAAGTGAGTATGCTCTAGTTAGGTTATGTAAGGTAAGTATAATAAAGCTTTGGTCTGGTGAGGTTAAGTGAGTATGCTCTAGTTAGGTTATATAACGTTATCAGAGGTGCGGTGGGATAAGGCTGAGGCATGACTTTGATTATCACAGGTATAGAGTTAGACAGCTAGTCTGATCAGTGTACTATTGAGTCTCTCTGAGTGTCTCTGAATGTGCATTTACGGTTCCCAGAAAAATAAGCTATAAAATAAACCGGGAGTGATCTCCCAAAAACTTTCTCGAATATTCTTATATAAAATAACAGGGGATTTGAAGTCGGCTATAGACTTGATTTTTAATCCATTTTAATTACTTAAAGTTTTAAAAATAGAAAAAAATCTCGTAGACAAAAGAATTGCACACCAAGTGAACGCCAAATAAAAAAGTGCATAATAGTGCGCAATATTATTAGAACTTTATAAATTGACATGCGTTTTTGAGAAATCGGAAATAGCGTAAATTAGTACTTCCGGTCAACGGAAATTACCCTAAATTTGACAGAAGGTAGAGAATGAGATGTTTTACTTACATGTGAAATGTCCTGTATTTATCTGAAATAATACTCAAGTTATATGTTTTTGAAAATTCAACGTAGAAAAAGTACCACTTCCGGTTATCGGAAATCGCTCAAAAGTTAACACAAATCTACGATTTTGATAAAATACTTATATATGAAATTTTATCAACCTAGCTGTAACGGTACTCAAGTTATCACACACACACACACAGACACACAGACAGACAGACACACAGACATACGGACAATATTGCAAAATTATGTTTTTCCGTTTCAGTGAGATGTAAAACGTCGAGATTTGTAAAAACCTCGATTTTTTTTTTGCACGATTACAAGACTTTCTCTATACTTCGTATATACGAGAAAGTAAAAACTGCGCAAAAAGAAAAATTCACAAATGCAAACCAATTATTCTAATACTCTTAAATTGTTTCAAACTTCGTTGAAATATGTTTTATTAAGCTATAATTTACATGTAGTCACTTTTTGTTAATGTCTATATATAAAAGCTCAAATTAAGTAAACAAAAATGCCGCTGCGCACTTTTTTTGTGCTCAATTATTTCCGTTGCTCATTTTCCAATCACCACCATTTACATGTTTCTGTATTACAATAGTATAGTTATACTTTTTTTTTTAAATTCGACCCAAGTAAGTTTTATTTAGATATTCCTATTCAGATATATTTAGTTTTTTTGCACTACACTGTAAATGAATAGTGGCCACTTAGTGAATGGATGTTGTTTAGTAATTGCAGTTGTTCTTGTTTATTACACAAAAACACAAAGTGTTGTATTCAACTTGAGCTGTAGTGTAAGACGGTCATAGTCTAATAATATTCTAACATCGGTAATTCCCAATAAAGCGCCTTTGTTTCCGGTGCAATTTTAGTTGAACGTAGCTATTGTTATTTCTGGCGGTAAACTAAAACGAATGTCATTTTAGATTCGAAATGCTACGTGAAAGGTAGAATTATAAGATATTTCCACCGCACACTCAAAGGGACGAATAATTTTGTTAAGAAGATTTGAGTAAAAACGTGTGCCATTTATAAAAATCATAATAATAATTGATAATAGATGTCTATAGACCTAAATCTATCCTTAAGACTTAAGTTACAGGGCTTATTCGTCTCGAATGCCAAATCAAATACTTTAACAATCAAGTATTATTACAACATCGTGCTTCAAACAGTGTAATCGATTATTTTTATGTTGACCAAAGATTTGATGAATTTGAATTTTTAGTGTTTTCTGTAACTGAACTAAAAAACAGATATATAAAAACAATTTGATTTTTCCTTATCGTCGCTTAGGAATGAATTCCTTATAAAAGACATCTTGTTGCTTTATAGGGTAGTATACATTATAAGGAAGCGCCAAACTTGTACAAAGAATTTATAATATTATAATATTATTATTAGCAGTAGCAGACGCCAAACATTAAAACTAATTGACCCAGAAGTTAATATACTTAATTAAAAAATAATTAAAATATGAGCAGATTTATTTTGGAAAGTTCTTTATTTCAGGAAACTTATTCCTACATATAGATCTATCACGTTCTCTGCATTTGCAACTTTTATATTACAGATTCTGTAAAATTATTTTTCTAATTTTTTTTCAGACTTTCGTTTTTTTAGCGCAGTTATAAAGACTTACTTGACTTAGTCCTCTTTGCTCCTTATGGAGCATAGGGCCTCCACCATTTCCTTCCATTTCTTCCTATCCTCGGCTATTAATTTTGACATCTCCCAAGACATAAAGAGAATATCATAGTTATAAAGTGAATATCATAATAACATGATTTTTTTATTCATGTCAACAACAATAATCGGAGATATCAATCTTATTTGTACCCATTTGACTTATAGGCTTTGATTAAAAAAAATAGAACACACAAAAAAAATCAGACTCCGTATGATTGACTTATAAAATAAATGAAAAGTACTACTGTACCATGTACAAATTCCACGCCATACGAAAAGTGGAAATCGACACGTATAATATATATATACATATATATATATATATATATATATATATATATATATATATATATATATATATATATATATATATATATATATATAGACGTTTTGTATTAGATCTATGTATAAGTAAACCATCTCAAATGAATGAAAGTTGGCTACAAGTAAGAAAGAAGTATTACTATTGTTAAGCTGTATCAGTCCTCACAAGCCGATGATGAAAACTGTAAAACTAAAGCGAACATGCACGGCCAATAGACGCTGTAAATTACATGTCTGAGGCGAAAAAAAAAATAAAATAAAAAAAAAAGAAATTTAAAAAAAAAGTACCTTTGGAGGATTCTTACACGCTCCCACCCTCCCCCCATTCACCCCCACACCAACGTCTATTCGCTTGTTATTTTATGTTTTCCTTTTCCTTTTGCATTTTTTACTTTCTCCTATCTACGAATTATTGTAATCGTGCAACATGAGTCGGAAATACATAGTTTTGCAATCTTGTCCGTATGTCTGTGTGTGTATGTGTGTCTGTGTGTCTGTGTGTGTCTGTAAACACGATAACTTGAGTACCATTACAGCTGGGTTGATGAAATTTCATATATAGATATTATATCAACTTTGTAGATCCGTATCAACATTTGAGCGATTTCCGATAAACGAAACAGAAACTTTTTCTACTTTCAATTTTTTTAAAAGCCTATAACTTGAGTACTATTTCAGATAGCTAAAGGAAATTTCACATATAAGTGAAAGATCTAATTCTCTGCCTTTCCGTTGACCAGAAGAAGTAATTTTCACTTTTTTCGATTTCTTAAAAAAAGCATGTGAATTTAAAAAGTACTAATAATATTCCGCTCTATTATACACATCTTTATTCGGCGTTCGCTTGGTGCGCAATTCTTTTTTTTATGAGATTCTGTTTTAAAAAGTTTAAGTATTTAAAATGGATTAAAAATCTTAACTATATCCCGAGTTCCCATCCCCTGTTGTTTTATATAAGAATATTCGAGAACAATTAGGGGAGATCACTCCCGGTTTATTTACTGCACAAATTGTGATGAATACTATGTAAATAACTATTTTTCTGACTATTCTACTATGTATATAATTATGTCACCAACGACATTCGTTTACAAACAAATGTTTGACTTTAATTGTTTTAATTGAAAATAGAAGTAAAAATGATTGGGACTCAACTTTTAAGCTAAATTACACCGAATGATAGTCGCAAATACTTCAGTTTTAGAAATAAAAAAATAACTAAAAAACAAAAAAAACTAAACTTGTATTTAAGTATTATTATATATCATTATATAACTACAGCGAACTCATTAAAATTAAAATTTTTGTTTCCTTTCTCTTAGTATTCTTAGCAATAGCAAAAACATTTTAATAATTCCTTGTTTTTGTGTTTTCAGAAATCTAAATTCTACTCTACAACCAGCCATGTTTTTGTTCGATCGTCATTCTGTAGTTGACTATCATAAGGACGACGCCCTACACGTAGCTAAGGAAGTCTGCAGATGTTTCGATGAAAACAAGGACAACTACACAGACTTTACCGTCAACGTTGGCAACACCAAGTTCAACTGTCACAAGTTTGTCTTAAGTTCCTGCTCTGGTTTCTTTGAGGCTCTCATGAGGACAGATAAGAGATCAAAATCAGAATCAAGTTGTATCATACACGGAATAACGCCAGAAATATTTGGTCTTATACTGGATGTTTTTTATAAAGGGAAGCATGTTTTAACTGAAGAAAACATGGTTGAAATGTGGCACGCGTCTACTCTACTGGAAATCACATTTTTAATTTCGGATTGTGAAAAAGTTGTGAAAGATAAAATAAATTTACAAAATTTCTGGCAAATATTTATTGAAGCTAAGCTGTTGGATTCTGTCGTCGTTTTGAAGAAAACTAAAGAGTTTATGGTGGATAATTTTCAGAAGATTGCTGAATCAGACGTCTTGATGCAACTTTCTTTTGATGATTTGAAATATATTTTAAAACACGATTGGTGTCTTAGAACTGATTATGTCGTGCAGGCAGTTTTAAAATGGACGTGTTCAGATGACTCTCATCTGACTAGTTCTTCTAATAAATGTTCCAGCACGTCACATGGGAAAGAGATTGCTTCGACATATGACCAGGATAACATAACACTCCGCAGGTCATACCTTGGTCAGTTGTTTGCTCGAGTTCCACTGAAACACACTTCCACGGAGTGCCTGATCAAACTTTTGAACAATAAATTTGTCTTGGCAAATTTTGGTGCCATAACTCAAATAACCAGGGTCGCATCTATTAGAGAAGTCGCCACAAAAACAAAAATTCTTAACGTAGAATCCAAAACGGCGAATCAACGTTTTAAGACAGCTGATGGATTTCTATTCTTCATATTTGTTCTGTACATTTTGAATTTCTCTTTTGGTTTTCAGTGCTGCTAAAGTGTTAAATTAACATACTAACTGTGCTGTTTATAATACAACAAGTTTCTCTGCTGCCATACACAAACTACCCCCCATCTACCCCTAAACCTATCGATATTTAAAAAAATGCTACCCATTGCAATTACTTTCTAAAGCACAAGTATCATTAGGCCTAAACATTTGATTTTATATTTTTAAAAACAATAATTTGATTGTTTTCCTTTTTGAAAACTACAACGTAGAATTTTTTTATAGTAAACATGTACAAACGTATTTGGAACCACTCATAAGTATTTCTCAAGCTAAGTTGACTAACGGCACAGTTAAAATAGAAACTTGACCACTGCCTTTACTGTAATTAAAAACCTATATATTCACAGACAAAAAAAACGCATATGTAAACACACACAAATTCACACTTTTTATATTATTCAATTAAGTTTATGGCCCAAAATTTGTAGATTTGTTTCATGAAATTTGTAAACATGATTATTTAATAAGCTGTCATAGTTAGGCCGTCAATCAAGTTTCGCCATAAAAGATTAGTATTTGTTTTTAAGTGCTATAGAACTGATTTAAAGGATACACAACGCCCAATGAAATAAGCGTATCTGATATAAGGAATTGATCAACACTGAAGTGAACACATTTTGATTGTGATCTACATCAATGACTGTATGCTTCAGTGTGATGTACATCATTGACTGTATGCTTCTGTGTGATCTACACCATTTACTGTATGCTTACGTGATCTACATCATTGACTTTATGCTTGAATGTGATCTACATTATTGACTCTATGCTTGAGTGTGATCTACATCATTGACTGTATGTTTGCACGATTCACATAACATCGCGTGTAAACTGACAATAAAAAATCTTATTACAACGACGTGTATCATGATATGTTTCTCCAAACATTGTTTTCACGGATTACATAATATAACTCTGATTCATAGATCATAACTAAAAAGTTATTATTGACACAAACATCTCCTCAATCTATTACTTATATTTCTAAAATCATACGAAGCTATTAACAAAATTAATAGGCCGGAATTCAAACCCAATGAAATCATTTTCGTTTACGATAAAATCATTCACAAGTTAGTGTCAATCATCACTTTGAAATGTTTAATATTTTATATTTCCTTCTTAGATAACCGACGTCTTGTGTAAAGCTTGGACTTTGTTTAAAATGAATCGTTAGCTTGCAATCGACGATAGTTAAATACTTGCTATTTATGTTACATCACAACCGGCATGGAAACTTAAAATGTAGTCAGATAAGACTACAAAGTTTCCAACCTAACAGTCCGCTCAGCAGTTGGAGTAGAGTTTATGTTTTCATGAAATGAGATAACGTGTTTAGCATCATGCCTAATCGCTTTTTCCTTTCCCCTAACGTGAATTATGTACCGATCAGAGCAGAATGTCCTGATTAATTAAACCCAGAATACGAACTCAAGACATTAGGGTTAACATTTTTACGCTCTGCCGTCCAGCCACGCCGTTTCACAGTAACACTATCTTAGATGCATTTTATCATTGAGTATAGTCGTTTTATATTAATGGTAAAATAAATGTCCTATCAGATAAAACAATTAAATTTTTTTTTCTGTGTGTTGTTATCAGACGCAAGTGCGCTGGCAACTATTTCATCAAAATCACAGACAGGCGTAGTTACGTCGGTAAAATGTAAATAATGCGGGAGTGATCTCCCTGAACTTTTTCCTACATCTTAAGTTACACTGTGGGTTGGGACGGCATTGTGGGTTGGGACGCCCCCACCTCCCTCATTTGCAAAGGTCGGGGCGCTTTTTACCAGTCACTGTCCTTTATTGTAAAACACGTGCAATATTTTTAAAATTTTAATAGGGCTTATTAGTCTCGTTTTATCTCAATATGTTTTAGAATAGTTTCGAATGGTGTATGAATCTATTTTTTTTACTCTGGGGGCTCTATTATTTACATACTCCATATATTTGTGTATTCCCAACGCTGCGTATTGAAATTTGGTGCAATCGGAAATGAACGTGTTTGTTTTTATCAATGGCGACATAAGACAAAGTTGGAATCAACTTATGAATTTAAATTGTTTTAACTATTGAGCGTCACATAAGTAAGTGTTGATAAAAAGACTATGTATACTGAGTGTGGTTTTTATTATAAAAACAAACTATGACTATTAAAATATAATTAGAAATCGCAAGATGGCTGAAATCATTAATAATGTATTGATCTTTATAAAACAAACAAATTACAAAGTGGTTTGTACAAGCATATTTAGCGCACTTTCCATTCTGGAGAATTGCGTTTATTAACCCGTCATTTCTGGATGTATGAATGAATGTATGAATGTGTGTCCGCAGCTTTAAGTCGTATCTCCTCCTCAACGAAGCAACATCGAGGACTAGTTCCATTTCCACCATCGCGAATAAATATAGGCCTATATAGACCTAATTTTGGGGTGGGTGCGAATTTGAGAGTTTGTTCTGGGTGCCGAAATAGATCGCTACTCCTTTATAAAAGTTATTAATTATTAGGTACTGTTTGATAATAGCGATTGAACCTTTTGCGCCCCCCCCCATAAAAATGGCGCCCTAGACGACCGCCTAGTTCGCTTTATAGGTAGCGCCGGCCCTGCCCCCACCCCTACACATATCACAACACACAGAAGCGCTGTTACATCTTTATTCAACGTATTGTAACGCTTTATACTTTATTAGGTGCCAACGCATAGAGAACATATAATCATTAACATTTACTTACTCATAGGGTCGTCCATAAATGACGTCACACTCGTAGGGGGGAGGGGGGTCCGTAATATTTTTGTGATGGTGTATGATGAGGGGGAGGGGGGGGTCAGATGGTGTGACGTCACTTTTTGCATTATAAAATTGCAATGTTAGAAAACGAGTTTTAGCCGTTATTTCGCGTTTTAGAAAACGGTTTCAATAAATTGTAATAGGAATATTTCAAATTACTCTATGTTGACAGAGTTCTGATAAGATTTTGGAAAAATATCGATGTTTTAAGAAAAATTCAACAGCAATTTTGAAGGGGGTTGTAGGCTGCGGTGTGACGTCATTTTAGGGGGGGGGTCTGGCTTTTTGTGACGACGTGTGACGGAGAGGAGGGGGAGTAAAAATCGTCAAAAAAAGCGTGACGTCATTTATGGATGACCCCCATCTAATCATGTTCACAAGCAGACATTTTGTACCAATGAGATTCAAGAAAATAAAAAGCAATTTATTAATAACATATTAACCCCTACCTAAATTATAAAAACACCCACCCTTACGCGTAATGCAATATAAGCATGACCCCTTTATCTGATACATTTTATTCTTTCGTTGTTAGTTTTTTTTTTCATGTGGCTACACGGGGGAGGAGAGTAACTAAACACCTCGGGGGGGGGGGGATATTTATAGATAAGATAATTTTATGATAGTTCAACTTGAATGCGAGTTTTCACAAGGGGATTTTTAAAAAATGCTCGTTTCATTTACTCAAATAACAAAGCCGTACATATTAGTTTTTTCCCACTAGTTAGAATTTAATTACCAGTTGTTGTTAACATATTTCACTTTTTAAAAACGTTCATATCTTTATAATGTCGTATACCTAGAGTCTGCTTCAATGTAGTAAATAGCAAATTGGAATTTAAATTAAAATAAAAACCTGTCATTTATCTGGCAACTTTTGTCATCAATAGAGGGGCTAGTGCCTCTCTTAACGCGTGTGATGGGAGCATAGGCGTAGCGACCCTTCCTGGCGCCCGGGGACAAACTTTCAATGTTCAATTTGCACCCCCACCCCCTCAAACTTTGGTTTCGTACCCCCCCCCCCCCCCCCTCAAACTTTCAATTTGCAACCCCCCGCCCATTTTTTTTTTATATTTATAATGCAAAACTGGAGCTAAAATGAGATTTTAATTTGTTTTTCCAACCCATTTTGGCGCCCCCTAAGTTCGACGCCCGGGGACATATGTAACCCCCCCCCCCCCGCCCCCCCCCCCTCCGTCATTACGCCTCTGGGTGGGATGACGGTAGAGAGAAAGAAAAACAAAACACGAATGGGAGTACTCAGCAGGAGTACTAATCAACACACACGAAAATGGCAAATCCCTGCTGAATGGAGGAAATTGATTAATGGTGGGTAGCCGAGGCTGAAATGAGAGTTCGTGACAAAAGCGTAGGATGGTAAAATGCGAACGTATAGAAAAAAAATAGAACAATAACACAGGAAAATCTCAATGGCTTAAGAAGGAATTGTGCTGGTAAAATGCGAACGTATAGAAAGAAAATAGAACAATAACACAGGAAAATCTCAATGGCTTTAGAAGGAATTGTGCTGAGTTTAGGAAATGTTGAAGTGCCATTCAGCTAAAAAGGAAAAGTTAGGAAGTGTTAGAAAGGGAGAAAAAAAATGAACGCATCCATCTTCTGACAAGATGGTAAAAAAACGGGGTATTTTTTTATATAATAAAAAAGATTAAAATATAGACTAGAACAATGAAAGCCGTTATGTGGACTTAAAGAGAACGAATAGATGGATGGTGTGCGTGTGTGTGTATTAATAGGGAAGAAGGAATATTTTGATGTCACTTAATTTAGCAGATAGGAACTCCATTCCAAAATAATTATTGTTCATTCTGCCTTTGAACAAAGGCATCACTACGAGTTATTTGGAATTTATCTTAAAGATAAGACACTGAAGCTTAAGTGTTTTTCTCTACCTATTCAGCGTGGCCTACACAACATTCATCTCGATCGTTTATATCTGACATTAGTGGCAGAGATATGTAGATGTATAGGCTGTATAGACATATACAGGCTAAATATATATGCCTATATACACACACACATATATATATATTATATATATATATATATATATATATACATAACATAGAGCCAGAGTTACTTTGAGGCATCTCTTCGGAGGGGGGGGCGAATAAAGTCCCCCCCCGCCTCTCTTCCCCCCCCCCCAATCCCGAACGAAATGGAATTTTTCATAAAACATATATACTTTAATTAAACCCCCTCCCCACCTCCAGAAAAATTTAGTCATCCCCCCCTCCTAAAATATCAATTGCCCACCCCCGGAAAAAAGTCAGAAAGAAACACTGCATGGAGCGTAGAGTATTACCGGGTCTGCTCATGCTAATCTACTGAAGGTCACTGGCTTGGCAATATCCATTTGCATTGTTTACTTTCCTGTAACCCCAATATTAGGATTAAGACGTCCGGAGATTTGTAGGCTTATTGTTAAGGTATGTTGATACAACAAGGGATAAGCCACTGGTAAGGCTAAATACGTTGTGTCGTATTTTGCTGTCATTATATATGGGATTAACTGTACCAGCATACCTATGATATACACATCTGTAATAACAAACATCCGCATGACAGGAACTCGTGTGGTGGTGGAAGGTTGAAGGGAGGGGGAGTACAGCGGGGAGGTTGAGGGGAGGGGGATTACTGGGGGGTTGAGGGGAGGGGTGGTTACTGCATGGAGGTTGAGGGGAGGGGGTGGTTACTGCAGGGAGGTTGAGGGGAGGGGCTGGTTACTGCGGGGAGGTTGAGAGGGGGGATAACTGCGTGAAGGTTGAGGGAACGGGAGATTACTTGGGGAGGTTGAGGGGAGGGGGTTTGATTACTGCGGGGAGGTTGAGGGGAGAGGGATTGATTATTTTGGGGATGTTGAGGGGATGGGGGGTGGATTTCTTCAAAGGCATATTTCTATGCTTGGTATACGTCTGTATTTGATGTGTGACTAAATGGT